CAAGGGCGTTCTCATCCATAGGAACAGTGCCATCTTGCATAGCGTAATCAAGAGTCTACAGGGCCACAAGTTATCGTTATTAGTAGATTTTATTATGCAGCAGTTGCACTGATTTGATTCTGCCATGACGGTAATTCTACTTTTAAAAATATAGGGCAGAGAGACATACTTTCGTTGAGAAATAGCAGTGTGATTTGAGGAAAGACTCTATTCTAAAATCGGTGTTTCAATTTATAGTGAATTCCCAGTATTTTCTACCCACCCGATGTGGAGGTAGAAGAAAGTGGTGGGTCGAGAGACTCGGATTTAGGGCATAGCCGGTACTGCTAAAACGTCTAAGCTGAAAAGTTAGGTCAGATTCAAGTTAGGCGCTTTGCAATCTTGTTCAATCACTGCACATCGTCTTCGAAGGGTACATCTGTAAATGACTAATAACTTTTGTTTTCGCATAAGTCACGAATTAGAGTTAAAGAAAAGCACCTTAGCCCCACAAGTGGGAGTCAAACTCTGGCCATTTGAGTAAATGCCAAAAAGACTCAATGTTGTACTTCAGAGAGCCTACAAGCTCAATAAAATGAAATACCCCAAAAAATTACACCAAATAGCCATACCTCAAGTGCAGATTTTCAGTCTCGGCCCAAGGGCTTTAGTTAGATACAGCCAGACCCTAAAGCTTAGTCAAGAAGTGAAAGCAAAAGACGGTTAAAAAAAAGGAAATTGGTCATTCACCTCGTTATATTTTAGCGATGTAACTGGTCGGTTGGGTGGGCGTTCAGGCACTGTCTGCACGGCAATCGAGTAAAAGGACCGCGTAGTTATGAGGACTGAGTCGGAGACCTGAGTAAAAAACAAGATTTTTTATGTAATTTATGAGCTATTTCTGATACATTATCCACTTCCAAAGCATTTTAAGCAATTAATCCTGAGGCGTATATGAGCCCTTCATATTACACACATTTAGAGTGTTATTTATGCAGCGTCGTAAATGAACTTTATTTATATTGGTGGTTTGACCTCGTTTTAGCAACTTGGCCGTGGCAACAAGGAGATCTTGTTGAACTTACTAAGTCGTGCGGCCTCTGTCATAGTCTTCATGATTCCCAGCATCAGACTAAACAAAAGGTCTTCATATCTATGATATATTTATATAACCTATTTATCTATTAAGTAACTTCATGCTACTTTGCTTCGATGACTATAGTTGCTATCAGATTAATTTTATATTTACATGCATAGTTATATATATATATATACGCTGCAGTGCCATGGTTCGAGTCCCGCAGAGGGCGTTGATAAGACCTAGGTGGCATCGAAACTGCAGTCCAACCTGGATGGGAATAACTTTTGCGCAAGCAAGGCTGTGAGATTCAATGGAAACGTCATGCCTATTCATATGGTTGTGGGAAAATTCAACTACCAGTCCATCTTCACCTTAAACGAAACAGGAGGAATTCACCTCATATACATCAGTCGTTCATCACTTTATGCGAGTTGCTATAATTCTTATTCAAGGTTTACTGATAGTCTCTGTCTGAAGCAGTACAATCTGAATTTAGATTCAGAAGAGCTGTCTCTTGAGAAAAGTCTTCAAGCTGTTCACCGATTATCCTCTTCCGCATACAACACCGGGACAATAGTGAGGGCTGACCTGAAGAGGGTGGTGCATCTCGATGGCTGGCTCGTGAGTGTAGCTGCGAACACCCTCGTAGGTCGGCATCACGGGTTCGTTGCTTGGCTTGCCAGCTTTCTTGCTCGTCTCCGCCTTAACGCGTTGCAGAGTGGCGCTAAGCTCAGGCCGTGCAACAACCGGTTGAATGGCTGAGCTCGCCGACTCCAGACTGGTGTGTCGACGCTTCAGTTGGGGTCGTTTCAGCGAAAAGCTGTACACCTCGCGGCGTTCATAGATTTCCATCTGTTTTTTTCTGCTCCCAGACATGCCCGATCTAGCGCCACTGGCACCAGACATGGATGACTTCCCACAAAGGCTGCCTGAGGAACGCAGAGTGTCGGAGCCCGATGGTGGCACTCCAAGGGGGCCCGAGTAGCTGGTTACCTCTTGGCGGTGGTTCAGGCGTTCTCGAGCACGTAGCGTGTAATTGGGGGTCTGAGGACAAAAAAGGGTGGGAAAAACAGATGTATAAGAAAATGGGATAAGAATGAGGAGGCAGACAAAACAAGCGCGCTCGTGAGAGAGAAAGAAGTAGAGATATAAAAAGACAGGGAAATAAAGAAAGATAAACAAAGAGATAAAGAAAGAGAAAGAGCAAAACCTTAAGAGGGCGACAGAAAAACAAAAACAAAGAGCGAAAGAGAGATAGAAGAAGATGGGAGTGAAAGACAGAAAAAAGAGAAAAAAAAGACATGGAGAGTGCAAAAAGTGAGGAAGAGGTGAGATGAGAGGAAACGAGAGAAAAAAACTTATAAACG